GGCCTTGACAGGTCATGGGCAGGTAGTAAGGCTGCTGCCTTGCAGAGGGAGAGAGTTGGTGGAAAGAGGCACCTTCATAGTCGCAGGTGGGCAGTGGGATGCTGCCAGTTCTAGCTCTTGACACCCCCAAAGTCTTGGGTCTCAGATCGTCTAGCAAGACCTGAAGGTGAAGTTCTCAGAAGGAACTAAGAAGCCATTTTTGTCAAGGGGTTCAACCGGCAGTAGATGTTTGTGTCGGGCTGTAGTAACTCCTGTAAGAGAAGGAAAAGGTCTCTGAGCCTCCAAAACCTCAGAACCTGTGCTGCATCTTTGAGAACCTGGGTAACCTCGTCTTATGTGGGGCTGGCTGTTCCTGGAGGGCTCTGCTACCAGGCCCCTACATCTCCAAGCACCCTCTTGTACATTTTCCCTGCTTGTTCCTCATATCAAAGCATAGCCAGGCCAGTTGTGGGCAGAAGCTGGGCTCCCCTGGGCCTGGGGGACAGGACGCGCATCGCCCACACTCACCTGGTAGATGGGAATAGCTGGCTCTGTGTCAGGCAGGGGGACCTGGGCAGGGGGAGAGAGCAGGTGTTAGGGCATGGCGAGGGAGGGTCACTTGCCATAGAGTGACTTTACTAGGCAACCCTGAACCCCAGTGCTCATCCTGATTGTACCCCCCACATTGTGTTACCCAGTACCCTGACGAGTTAGTCCCAGCCCCTACTCGCTGCTGATTGGACTCCAGGGTCCCATTAGGCTGAATAAGGGGAGCAGAGAGGAGTCATTCTTCTCTGAAGATGGGTTCAGCGCAGCCCAGGCGCTGGTCCCAGCCAATGGGTGTGGGGAGTCTGCCTGCAGCAGGGCTGAGCCCCACCCTGAGCCCGGGCAGCAGGACCCTGGGCAGAAGGGATGGGTGGGCTTACCGAGGAGGCGGTGTGGCCTGAGCGGGCAGAGCCTGGGAGCAGAGACAGGAGTTAGCACGAGTAGGGGAGGAGCCTGGGCCTGTCCAGGAGCAAGGCTGGTGTCCTGGACCCCCAATAATAGGTAGGAGAGAGACTCTACCATTTAGGGTCCCTTGAGACCCAGGTGGAGACCCACAACCCACACATCACAAGTGCTGAGTGTTTTATGAAAACATTTCTGAGCCTCAGGAGGAAACAGTCAGGGAGCAGGAGTGACAGGCAGGAGCAGACACAGGACAGGGGCTCTCCAGGGTCTTGAGTCTGTGTGACACTCACCAGGGGTGGGTGCTGGGGTCCGGCGCTCTGGGAGGCCTCGCTTGTCGCTGGTCCTAGGAAAGGCCAGATTATTAGTGAGGGGAGGTGGGGGAGGGCACAGCTTTGGTGTCAGGACAGGGGATTTGGAGGGTCCCCCTTCCCAGAAAGGGTTTGGGGACATGTTCCTCCTGTTCTAAGAGAGGAGGGCCCATAATAAGGGTACAGGAAGGCTAAGAACACTTATCTGTCCTGGCCCACAGGCAAGGACCTGCAACTAATGGGGGTTCAGGAGGAAGTTACCCCAGAAAGAGAGGGACTCAAGAGAGGAATCAGACTGAGGTTTGCCTGAGTGGAAGGTCAGTGCCTCAGAGGGACAGCAGGGTCAAGTGTGTGCAGGAAATTCAGGGTCCCCAGGTATGTGGGTCTCCCTGAATGAGGTCCCCTTGCTGTGGGCCGATCCTCACAGTCCGGGAGAGGCTGAATGTGACAGTGGCCTCACCCTGTCCATCTGCCTGGACAAGAGGCACAAGCTCACCCCAGGCCTGCCCTCCTGGCCGCCCCACCTCCTCCTCCCTCACACCTCAGGGACTGGGCTCACCCCTCTCCCACCTGCGGGCATCTGACTTGACCCTGCCTGTCTAAGCTCTTCTGCCTCATGTGTTTGACCTGGTATAAGACACCCTCAGATTTGAGGCTGCACAGGCCCCTCCTAGGGAGAGTAATTTAGCGAACAACAGTGGGTGGTGCTACTGAGTCCTTCCTACCTCCCTGCTGGGGGTTTGTGAGGGACAAGGACAGCACTGAGGGGGCCTTCCCTGAGCTCATGGATAGCTGAGGAGGCTGTGAGGAGGCCCCAGGCCAGCAGCTGCTGAGGGAGGATGTGGATGGGGTGAGAGGGAACAGCCATGGAGAGGTGGAGGCCGTGGGAGCCACGCCGAGAAATCAAGGACGAGGTTTCCTCCTCCTGGCCTGAGACAGGATCAGATGTGGGATATACCCTCGTACTTCCCAGACCTTTTGCAAACCAAGACAATAGCCAGGGCGGCTGCCAGCACCACCCCTGCCAGGACCCCGATGACGATGGCTGCAATGGCCCCCGCAGAGAGGCCTGTGGTGTCTTCTTCCGCTGAAAGGAGAAGAGAAAGGGGACATGAGCCCAGGGCCATTCCAGGGGCACCATGAGGTGCCTGACAAATGGGCCTGGCGAGGGGAAGGAAAGGTCACTGGTCTGTGTGAGGTTGTGTGTCTCCAGACGCCCCTCCCGGCTGCTGCATCCTTCTGCTCTCACAGCCGAGACCTTGCACTTGCTGCACCCCTCACATTCTCCCACACGCAGCCGTACTGCTTCCCGCCATTTTCCTCAAGGCCTCTCTTCACACTCTGCTCATCCCTCTTCCCTGTCCCGTCACTGTGGGTGGTCTCTGAGGGCAGAGCCCACCGTCACCTCAGCACTGACGAGGAATAGTAATATGAGCTGATGTGTCCTGGTCGGCCTGTGCCAGGCTCATGGAAGAACTTTCCATTCCTTCACCTGGCCCTCCTTCCAGGAGGGAGAGGGTGTCATCCCCACGCTGCATAATCAGAACCTGACAGAAATGCTGAAATAGTACAGGGGTCACAGAGCAGAAGAGATAAAACCAAACTACAACCACATTCTGCTGGTAGATCAGTGAAAAAAATAAAGTTAATGAACATAAATCCTCATTGACACCCTCCCTAAATCCTTGATATTTTGACTAAGAGATTTATTTCACTGGCTCCTAATCAACACTCTCAAGACAGCCTGAGATCCAGTTCTTGTATTTCAGTTTGGCAGATAGGGAAACTGAGGCTCAGGAGGTTGAGCCTTGCCCGAGGTCAGACAGCTGGGTCATCAGACCAGCAAGACTGGCCTAATTCTGGTGCTTCTCCATGTTGCCCCACAGGCTCTGAGGAGGCATCCACTCAAGGCTCCTCCATTTCACACCCCTTCCCCCCATTAATGAGACATATAAGGATGAAGTAGGAGAGTTGAGGGTCACTCCCCCTTCACAGTGAGGGTGAGGGGGTCACTTCTGCTGAACTGACCAGGTTGGAGACCTCACACTGATACTCCCCGGTATCCTCCCTCCTGACAGGGCTGATGGGGAGGGAGCTCCTGTCCTGGGACAGCATCATCCTGTCTGTGAGCCACAGACATTGGTTATTGAGCAGCCACAGGGTAGAGATCTCAGTGTCTCTTGTGAGGCTTGTCAGGACCACGAGGTCCTTGTGTTCAGTGACTGTGGTGTTGCTGGCTTGGATGGAGGGCGGGGCCACTGGCTCTGTGGAGAAGCAGCGGAGGTGACTGAGAGTGGGTTTGGGGCCTGGGCAACACTCCCTCCTCAGATCTCAGCTCCTCACAGGCCACAGAGCAGCTGCATATTTCCAGAGACTGGACCTGGCCTCTGCAAGATCCAGTGTCTGTGTTCAGGTGATGACGTGTAAGGTGAAGGTGACACCTGCTGTCTGACCCCAGTTGACGCCAGGGTGATTTCAGACTTGTACCCTTGGGCATCTCCGCATTATTGGCAGAAGGAATTCCTTCTGAGCTCAAATTCTTCATTCAGAAGAACTTTTTCTCCTGGACTCTGTGTAACTTCCAGAAATTTAATAACCTTGAAAGGTGAGGTCCCCTTCCTCTTATAAACTGTATGTTGGAGGATGGATGCCTGACTTTTACTTCCTCATTTGCATAGGAACAATCTAGAGAAGGGGTTACAGATTTCACAAGGCTGCACTCTGAGAACAGAAGGAAATTATTACAACATAAGAAAGACCTAGAGGAAAGGCCCTCGACATCACCTTCATGCTGATACTCTAAGTTTAGCCCCTAAGATGAGGAAGAGGGCAAGTTGTACTTCCCCAACCCCATCAGCACAGGACTGATGTGCAATGTCCATGCCTGGACCATCAGGCAGGAAAAAGAACAACAGACATGTCCCTGGACAGGAGAAGTGCAGTTCGGTTTGTTTGCAGATGGTGTGAACTTAAATATAGAAATACTTAAAGGTTTTACAAAAATAATGAGAACTAAAAATCAAATTAGGAGGGTTACAGTGTACAAAATCAGCATACTAGCAATGAACTCTCTGACACGGAAATCAATAGAACAGTTCCACTTACATTAATATCAGAGATCAAATACTAAGGGATAAACCTAAGCAATGAGTGACAGACTCTTCCATAGAGGTATGAAAAGCAGTGAAAGCAGGTAATTGGTCAAACAGGCAAGCTGAGAGGACTTAAAGCAGACAAAGTAATGGAAAGGGCATCTTTGTTGATGTGTCAGGAGACTTAATATCGTGACGATGACAATACAATGCAGAGAGACCCCACATTCAGAGCAGTTCCTGTACAATCCTTGTAATGTATTTTGCAGAAATAAAATTTCCAAAAATGGTAATAAATTTTGACCCTTGTTTCACACCATGAAATTAACTTCATATGGATGAAAGAGCTACATAGGGTCAAAATTGTCAATGATCTAGAAGAAAACAGAGGAAAATGTCTTCTATTAGATTTACCAATGGTTTGTTACATATGATGAAAAAATTCAGACTAAGAATCAGAATATACAAAAACTCCTGTAATTCAACAACAAATAGAAAATTGACCGAGGGGACACTTCCTCCTGTGTCATCTGCAAAGCCCTGTCCTATTCATGGGGCTCTGGGGTTGAGCTAAGCCTTTCCCACTCCAGGATGGACCCACATCTTCCAAATGACAAATCGGAGAGCAAGGGTGGGGCTCAGTCCGCAGATGGTCCAGGCAATCACTTACCAAGGACTGTGATGATCTTGAATGTGGTCATATTGAGGCCAGTGGCCTTGTTGTGGGCAAGGCAGGTGTAGGATCCACTGTTCTGCTCAGTGATGTTGGGCATAAAGAGCACCTGTGTGGATTGCTGGGGCCTCCCACTGATCAGCCAGGAATAGTGTGCAGGCGGGTTAGAGGCTGCGTGGCAGGAAAGGTGGAGGTTTGCCCCTGCACGGTAGTAAGGGTCTGAGGGGAAGATGGTGGGGGTGTCCGGGCCATCTGGGCAGAGAACAAAGTGACACGTGATGTCATCAGAGAGAGGAGGCTCCTGGGCTGTTCAAGGGCCACAGTGTCCCTCTGAGTGGGTCTCCCCTTGTTTGAAATGATCACACCACCACACTGAGGTCGGCTCCTGAGTCTGAGACGTTCCCCTGCTCCTTTATCACAGGTTGTGGACCCCGAGCCCCCAGCCCAGGAGCAGCCCCCCTCCTAGTCCTGGCTCAGGCTGGGCCTGCCTGGCTTTGCCTGGGACGGGCAGTCATGACCAGCCCGGGTGTCCCGGGGAGGGCCGTGCACTTGGACCTGAGGGGGACGATCGGGCCTGGGCTCTGACTGTGTGGGTGTGGGGCAGCCCCGGCCGCATCGGGACAGGAGTTACTCACAGAGAACATTCAGGGTGAATGGGTCGCTGTGGCGGGCACTCACTGGGTTCCGGGTCTCACACACATAGGGCCCCGTGTCAGTCCTGGTGACACGGAGTAGCGTGAGGGTCTGGTTGTCCTTGGACAGCTGCAGCCTGTCTCTGTCCAGGAGGCTCTGGCTGTTGTTGGACCATAGGTAGGTTGTGTCCGGAGTCTCAGGTCCACATGTTAACACCACGGTGTCCTCGTGCTCCACAGGGTCCGAGTTGTTGCTTGTGATGTGGGGTTTGGGTAACACCGCTGTGCAGGGAACAGAGAGAACATTGTCCTGAGGTCCATTGACTCCTGCAAAGGTGTCTACCTATAGTTGGCATCTCTCACCTCTCTGCCACCTGAGTCCTTAAGCACAAGGCAGGCGTATGACTCCAGACAAAGGCAGGAGGGTGTGAGCTCAGAGCATGAGGCTGCCTTTTCCATGTCTGACAAGGATAGACCTTCTCGGCGACATGTCAGACTCAGGGCTTAACAGGTCCCAGGTCGGGAGTCACAGCCCCTGTTCCTGCTGTTCGTCACTGAGCAGTGATGCCTGGACCTGCTGTGCTCACCTGGGACGGGGGTTCTGGGTCCCTCCAGCCGCACAGACCTGCACTGCTGGGTTGAAATGTGTTTTCACTGAGGCCTCTCTCCCAGGGATTCCTAGAGCTGGGTGAGGTGGCACCACCCACAGCCCTGAATCCCTGAGTATGGGGGCAGCAGGGCCTGGACATGGGTGTTGGAGCAGAAATGACACAGGGACCAGGGGCCAGCCTGGTGGCCAGGTCAGCCTCAGGCTGCAGGACCATTAGGTGGGCAATCCTGCCCAGGTGATGGTGTGACTGACGGACAGTGACCTGAGAAGGGAGAGCACAATCCAAGGAAGGTTCTAGAACAGAGCGAGGGGACCGTGGGAGCTGGTTGGCAGCAGAGCCAGTTCCCCTGTCCTTGGTCTTTCATGTCTCCTCTCTGAGGGCAGCTGAGGGCCCTGCTGGTCTCTCCTGAAATCCTCCGGACAACAATGACTCAGAGGAGTGACTTGTGGGCAGTGAGAGCAGGTAACTGGTAAAACAGGCAAGTGTTTAGAGGATGGAGTTTGGTCCCATTTTCTGAAGACACAGGGACCCACCGAACTCCAATGTCTAAAGAACATATGAGTCATTCACTCTATCATCATCATTCAGTCCATCAGCTAGAAAGACTGAGGGTTTATTCCACATTGGCCTGTTACTGGTTGTAGTTATAGATTATAGAAAAGAAAGTCTTTTCCATTTTATCCCAACACATCAGGAAGGACAATGAATGATTTTTTATCCAGTGCAGAGAGGTGTGGATGGGCCTAGAGGAGGAGGGCTGGGCCCCCAGCACTGATCTGGAAGATGTGGGTCATTTAGTTCTAGAGTCAACAAGAGGCATTTCCATTTGCTCTCACTCCCCAGGCCAGAATCTGTATCTGAGCTGGGGAGGCCCAGGAAGAAAGGACGTGAACCAGCAGAAAGGAAGTGAACCAGAAAGGATGTGAATCAGGGGCCCCAGATACATAATAATGCTCCCCAGAATTAGGAGAGGGTGGGCTGTGACTGCCGACAGGTCATGGGCTCACTCTGATGCAGGTCTTGGTCTGATGACTCTTCAGTGTCTCCTGTAACTTAATTCCTCTCAATGAAATAGGGTAAGTGGTAAATAGTCTCAGGCCTCCTGTGTCTGTGAATGAACCTTCAGTCTTTACCATTACCTGACCTGAGGCTTGTGTAGAGGAGCTGCCCAAAGACGAGGCACCTGGCATTGTTTGTCTCCATGTGGGAGGGCTCCCTGGGCTGATCCCGGGTGTATGTACAGCTTCCAGAAAATCTCTGTCTCTCCTCCCTTGGTCACCTGACCTTCCATTGGCAACTCCTATGGCTCAGACATGCCATGTAATGACCAGGGACCTACAATCTGCTCGCCAAGTCTCAAGTGAAGGACCAGGTTCTGTCCCTGCCCAGAGGGGGCTCTTGAGGCTATGCCCTGGCTGGTTACCCTCTCGGGAGCCTTAGGACTCAGGTTTTCAGGAAATTGCTGCAGCCCCGTCTACGAGGACAGATCCCACCCCTGATAGGGCCTCCTCGGGGTCACTGGGGTCGGGAGCCCTGGGACAGGGTCTGGTCAGGGCCTTTCTGGGATGTGAGGATCCAGGCTCCCCAGGTCAGGCCCTGACTAGACTTTCAGGGTGTTTCCTGAGTCATGCTTATACGTAGGGTCCCAGGGGCCTGAGAATGACACCTCACCCTGAGCTGCTGCATTATTTAGCAATTGGTCCTTCTTCCGCAGGGAATGAGGCAGGACTGGATTCAGTAGGGACTTCATCTTATGAGCCTTCCCCACTCTCTGTTTCCTGCACTAAATGCTCAACCCCAACATGACACACAGTTGGGGGGTGAGGCAGAGCCAGGCCTGTGAGTCCCCATGTGTGTGAAGCAGAATTTACCTCCCAAACCCAGAGGCCAGAGAATTACTCACCAAGTACTTGGAACCCTCCCATATCTCTCACACTGGTGAAGTCATCATATAAAACTAATACGTTGTAGTCTCCTGTGTCCTTCTTGGTAACGTTCCGGATGAGCAGGGATCCATTGGGGTATATAGTCTCTCGACTGCTGTACATAGGCCCGGGGGTGGTATTTTGAGTGTCTACTCTATAGGATATAATATGTTGACTGCTGTCCACACCTCTTCCTTTATACCAGTCATATTTTAGAGGTTCCATTGACAAATTGTAGACACGCAGAAGAACATCTTTCCCTTCAGCAACGTTAGCAGGCTCTGGTTCAACAGTCACCTGGGCAGTGACTGGCGGGATCCAGAAGGTAGAGAGTGAAGCTAGGAGGGAAGTGAGAGAAACTGATCAAAGTTTGGCCAAAGTATTGGCATGGGAAGGGGAGGCCTGGGGCCTGAGCACTTTATCAATCCCTTTATGATCATTTTTGGGGTGTGTGTGTCCCACATGTTCACGGTCAGCAGCATGCCCTCCACCCTCCAGCCCCTTTTCCTTTTTTGTCGCTCTTTGAACACTCTCCCCAGAGTGTTCTCCTCACCCCCCAAGCCCCCTAAAGCCCCTGCTCACCCTAAGAGCATCCTTGGGAGATGCTTCCCTGACCCCCTGCTCTGAAGACCCGCTGTCCTCCCTGTGCGATCTTTCCCTGCTCTGTGTCCTACAGAACACTTGTCAGCACCTGACAGCACGTTCTAATGTTAGATCTTAGTTATCTCTCTCACCAAGCGAGGACCTGCGCTCCCTGAGGGCAGGGACTTCTCTGGTCTTGTTGCCCTTCAGTGGCAGGACGGGCCCCATCCTTGTGGATGAGTGAGCGTCCCCAGGGCCTCTGTGTCCTGTGTGGATGATTTGCCCAGTTCTAAGGGCGGGGTCTAAGGGTGGTTAATGTTCACTTTGTACATTTTTTATGACATGAACTCTTGATACAAATTGTTATTATTCTCATCATTTCCCAAAAATTTTGTCTAGTGATAAATCACTTAGAAAACAGTTGAGGTCTCCTGGCCTCACACCTCAAATCATGACAACTTCATGTTGCTGAGAAGCTGTCACCATGTCCCTGCTCTCCTGTCCCCTCACCCCAGGTACACACAGAAGCCGTCCACCTCCTCTAAGACCCTGTTGTCCCTGGAAACCTCAGAGTCTCTGGTCTCCTCCTCCCACCCCCAGGAATGGCCCCTCTCACCTGCCAGCAGGAGCCCCTGCCAGGGGACTCGGTCTCTGTGTCCATGGGCTGAGGGGGCCTCCATGGGGTCCCTGCCTGCTCTGTGCTCCCTCTGAGAGGAGCTTGGGCTCCAGAGAGGCTCCCAAGCAGGGCTGCCCCTGAGTGTCAGCGCTGAGTTCCTGTTTCTTCAGGGACACCCGGTCCTGAGAGCTGAGCCTCCTCCCCACTCAGGAGCACTTTGCTGGTCACGGGGCCTGTGGGTGGGTGTGTCTGCCCTAGGTGCTTCCTTTCCTCTCCTCTCATTCTCCTCCCTCTTCCCTTCTTCCTATTTCCAGTGTCTACATTTAGGGCTCCCTCCCCCCCACCAGACTACTGTAGCCTCCGCCCTTTTCTTTTACCTTTTCAAAAACAGGTTTATGAGGAGAGGAGAAGGGAATAGTCCCCACATGGTCAAGGCGGGCAGGAGACTGCTGCCTCTCCCTGTTTCAACTGTGACTGCTCAACTGACAAACATAGAAACACACTCACACTCACACACGCACACTCTCACACACACATTCACACACATGCACTCTGACACACACTCACACTCACACAGACACGCTTACACAGACACACTATTGGATAAGCATAAGCCTGGAGTGTCCATGTCCAGGGCTCCCCCACAGCTTTGTGTTCTGGTGCAGGGCACCCCCAAGCCCTCTCTTCTTTTTTTTTTTTTTAAATAATAACTTTTATTTTTATATTCCCCCATACAACTGCACATGCCCCATTCTGACCCCAATCCTTCCCCTCCCGGCCCCCACCCCCCAAAAAGTGTCTCTGGTTCATAGTTTTTTGTTGATTTTGATTTTCACTTTTTTATAGTTATTCATTTTCCTGGTCCCTTATTTAAGTTTTCTAGATTCCTGCTATGAGTGAGACCATCCGGTATTTTTCTTTTTCTTTCTGGCTTATTTCGCTGAGCATGGTCCCTTCTAGCTCCATCCATGTTGCTGCAAATGGCATGTGTTTATCTTTTTTGAATGCTGAGTAATATTCCATGGTGTATATGTACCACATCTTCTTGATCCAGTCATCTATTTTTGGGCATTTGGGTTGTTTCCAAAGCTTAGCTATTGTAAACAGTGCTGCTATAAACATAGGGGTGCAGGTGCTCTTTGGAATAGATGTTTCTGTGTCCTTTGGGTAAATACCTAGGAGTGGAATTGCTGGATCATATGGAAGCTCTATGTTTAGTAGGTCAAGAAATCTCCACACAGCTCTCCATAGTGGTTGGACCAGTTTGCACTCCCACCAACAGTGCAGGAGAGTTCCTTTTTCTCCACACCCTCGCCAACATTTGTTGTTGCTAGTTTTTTTTAATATGTGCCATTCTCACTGGTGTAAGATGGTATCTCATGGTAGTTTTGATTTGCATTTCCCTGATGACAAGTGATGTTGAACATTTTTTCATATGCCTGTTGGCCATTTGCATTTCCTCTTCAGAGAAGTTTCTTTTTAGCTCTTCTGCCCATTTTTTGACTGGGTTATTTTCTTTGTTGTTGTTGAGTCTCATCAGCTCTTTGCAGATTTTTGTGATCAGTCCTTTATCATTAGTGTTGGGTGCAAAAATGTTCTCCCATTTGGTGGGGTTTCTCTTTGTTTTTGTTATTGTCTCTTTTGCTGTGCAGAAGCTCTTTAATTTGATGTAGTCCCAGCTGTTTATCTTTGCCTTCACTATAACTGCTTTGGGTGATGTGTCTGTAAAGATGTCTTTGATATGCAGATCACGTAGTGTTTCGCCTATATTTCCTTCTATGTATTTTATGGTTTCAGGTCTTATGTCTAGTTCTTTAATCCATTTTGAGTTGATTTTTATGTATGGTGTGAGGTAGTGGTCAAACTTCATTCTTTTGCACGTAGCAACCCAGTTTTCCCAGCACCATTTATTGAACAAACTTTCTTTGCTCCAATGCATAGTCTTTGCTCCTTTGTCAAAGATTAGTTGACCATAAATCTGTGGGTTTATTTCTGGATTTTCTATTCGATTCCATTGGTCTGTATGTCTGTTCTTGTTCCAATACCATGCAGTTTTGATGATTATGGCCAAGCCCTCTCTTCTCCCTCTACTTTTTCTTGTCAGAGCTGACCCCTGGCCTCCTCAGTAGCTCCTGTCACAGGCTGTCCCCTCTGTGCACAGAATCACCTGGGGAACTCGCTACAGATGGTGAATGCCCAGGTGACACCTACACGGGTTTATTCAGCAGCTGTCCAGGGAACAATGTGCCCCACCAGGTGACCCCATGATCGGTGTGGGAGCCTCTGCCCGTCCTGTGCACAGTGAGGGGCTGCAAGTCCTGGCAACATGCAGCCCCTGAACCGGCAAGTGAGGGGCGACCTGAGAATCTGCGTCTCCCCAGCTCTCAGGTGATGCTGTCATCCTGGCCTGCGGAGCCCATTTACCAGGGGTGCACTCTGGGGGCCGGTGCTCTGGGAGGCATCGCTTGTCGCTGGTCCTAGGAAAGGCCAGATTATTAGTGAGGGGAGGTGGGGGAGGGCACAGCTTTGGTGTCAGGACAGGGGATTTGGAGGATCCCCCTTCCCAGAAAGGGTTAGGGGACATGTTCCTCCTGTTCTAAGAGAGGAGAGCCCATAATAGGGGTACAGGAAGGCTAACGAAGACATACTGTCATGGGCCGAGAGGTGAAGGATCTGCATCTGCTGGGGGTTCAGGAGGAAGTTACCCAGAAAGTCCAGGACTCAGGAGAGGAATCAGACTGAGATTTTCCTGAGCAGAAGGTCAGGGCTTCAGAGGACCAAGAATATGCAGGAAACTCAGGGTTCACAGGTATATGGATCTCCCTGAATGAGGTGTCCCTGCTGTGGGCCGAACCCCATAGTCCAGGAGACGCTGAATGTGACAGAGGCCTCACCCTTCTCCATCGGCCTGGACACTTCCCAGGCCCTGTCCTCTTGCTGGCCCATGTCCTCCTGCCTCACACCTCAGGGGCTGGGCTCACCCTCTCCCACCTGAGGGCATCTGACCCCACCCTGCCTGCCCAGGCTCTTCCAAACCTTGTATGTGAACTGGCCAGGACATCCTCAGATCTGAGGCTGCACAGGCTCCTCATGGGGAGGGTGGATTTAGCCAACAACAGGGGGTGCTGCTACCGAGTCCTTTCCTAACTCCCAGATGGGGGTTTGTGAGCGACAAGGACAGCACTGATGGGGTCTTCCCTGAGCTCATGGATAGATGAGGAGGCTCTGAGAAGGCCCCAGGCCAGCAGCTGGTGAGGGAGGAGGGGATGGGGTGAGAGGGAACAGCCATGGGGTGCTGGAGGCTGTGGGAGCCATGCCCAGAAAACAGGGGCGGGGTATCCTCCTCCTGGCCAGGGACAGGATCGGATGTGGGAAATGCCCTCATACCTGCCAGAACTGCAAACTGAAACACACCACAGGGCGGCTGCCAGCGCCACCACTGATAGGGCCCCAACTAAGATGACAGCGATGACCCCCTCAGAGAGGCCTGTGGTGTCTCCTTCTGCTGAAAGGGGAAGAGAAAGGGGACATGAGCCCAGGGCCATTCCGGGGGCACCACGAGGAGCCTGACAGGAAGGGCCTGGCGAGGGGAAGGAAAGGTCACTGGTCTGTGTGAGGTTGTGTGTCGTCCTCAGTGTCTCCAGACGCCCCTCCCGGCTGCTGCATCCTTCGCTCTCACAGCCGAGACCTTGCACTTGCTGCACCCCTCACATTCTCCCACACGGAAGCGGTACAGCTGTACCGCTTCCCACCACTTTCCTCAAGGCCTCTCTTCTCACACTCTGCTCGTCCCTCTTCCCTGTCCCGTCACTGTGCACGGTCTCTGAGGGCAGAGGCCACCGTCACCTCAGCGCTGACGAGGAATAATAATATGAGCCGATGTGTCCTGCTCGGCCTGTGCCAGGCTCGTGGAAGAACTTTCCATTCCCTCACCTGGTCCTCCTTCCCTGGAGGGAGGATGTGTTCTCTAATTTGCATAATCAGAATCTGATGTAGATGCTGAAATAGCTCTGGGGTCACAGAGCAGAAGAGATAAAACCAAACTGCAATCAAATTCTGCAGTTAGATGAGTGAATAAAAATAAAGTTAGTGCACATACTCATTGACACCCTCCCTAAAACCTTGATATTTTGACTAAGAGATTTTATCTCACTGGTTCCTAATCAACACCCTCAGGACAGCCTGAGATCCAGTTATTGAATTCCAGTTTGGCAGATAGGGAAACTGAGGCTCAGATGGTTGAGCCTTCTGAGGGGGATGTGGGAGATGTCGAGGATCACTCACTCTTTACAGTGAGGGTGAGGGGGTCACTTCTGCTGGAACTGGCCAGGTTGGAGACCTCACACTGATACTCCCCGGCATCCTCCCTCCTGACAGGGCTGATGGTGAGGGAGCTTCTGTCCTGGGACAGCGTCATCCTGTCTGTGAGCCGGAGACGCTGTTTATTGAGGAGCCACAGGATGGAGATCCCAGTGTCTCTTGTGAGGCAGGTCAGGACCACAGTGTCCTCGTGTTCAGTGACAATGGTGTTGCTGGCTTGGATGGAGGGCGGGGCCACTGGCTCTGTGGAGAAAGAGTGCAGGTGAGTGAGGTGAGTGAGAGTGGGCCTGGGCCACAGTCCGCTTCAGCTCTCAGCCCCTCACAGGCCACCGAGTGGGTGCAAATTTCCAGAGGCTGGATCCTCTGCAGGTTTCAGTGTCTTGTTCAGGTGATGACATGTAAGGAGAAGGTGGCACCTGCCCTCTGACCCCAGTTGACCCCAGGGTGATTTCAGATTTGTACCCCTGGGCATATCAACAGTATTGGCAGGAACCCCTTCTCAGCTCAATTCTTCATCCAGAAGAACTTCTTCCGTGGACTCTGTGCAACTTCCTAGATATTTAGTAACCTTGAAAGGTGAGGTACCCTTCCTGTTCTAAACTGTATGTTGGAAGATGGATGCCTGACTTGTTTATCCTGGTCCCAGGGCAGCCCCACATAAAGCAGGAAAGGACTTTACTCCTTGTCAGATCAGGGGTGAGGATGCCCCTCCCAGTCTTCACGACCTTACAACCTGGGGAGTTACCAGTCTAAGGGCTGTCTCATCCTAACAACATGTTTGCTTCCTCATTTGCATAGGAACAATCTAGAGAAGGTTTTATGATTTCACAAGGCTGCCATCTGAGAACAGAAGGAAACTATTGCATGCATAAAAAAGGCCCTTGGCAGCAACTTCTTGATGAAACATTGAGGTTTAACTCCTAAGATGGAGAGGAAGGCAGGATGCACTTCCCCTCCTCCATCAGCACAGGACTGATGTCCAATGTCCATACCTGTACTATCAGGCAGGAAAAAGAAGCAGACATGCCCCGGACAGGAGAAGTGCAGTCAGGTCTGTCTGCAGGTAGTGTGAACTTAAATATAGAAATCCCTCAAGGTTTACAAAAATGAAGAGAATCAAAAAACAAATTAGGAAGGTTACAATGTACAAGATCAATATACTAACTATGAACTCTCTGACACAAATCAATAAACAGTTCCACTTACATTAATATCAGAAATCAGATGCTAAGTGATAAACCTAAGCAAAGAATGATCGACTCGTCCATGGAGAGATGGAAAGCATTGCTGAGAGGACTTAAAAGAGATAAAGTAATGGAACACAATGTATTTTGCCAAAAAAAAAAAAATTCCAAAAACTCCATGAATTTTGACCCTTGTTACACACCATGAAATTAACTTCAAATGGAAAAGATCTACATAGAGTCAGATGTCAATGTTCTAGAAGAAAACAGAGGAAAATGTCTTCTTTCCAGTGGGAGTGACCCTAACACATCAGGAAGGACAATGAATGATTTCTCATTCAGTGCATGGAGGTGTGGATGGGCCCAGAGGGGGAGGCCTGGGCCCCTAGCACTGACTCTGCTGGAGGATGTGGGTCATTGAGTTCTAGAGTCAACAGGGGGCATTTCCATTTGCTCTCACTCTCCAGACCAGAATCTCTGTGTCTGAGCTGGAGAGGCCCAGGAAGAAAGGATGTGAACCAGCAATGGTTCCAGGGGCTCCAGATACATAATATTGCTCCCCAGAATTAGGAGAGAGTGGGCTGTGACTGCAGACAGGTCATGGGCTCACTCTGATGTGGGTCTTGGTCTGAGTGACCCTTATTTAGTGTCTCCTGTAACTTAATTCCTCTCAATAAAATAGAGTAACTGGTAAATAGTCTCAGGCCTCCTGTGTCTGTGAATGAACCTTCAGTCTTTCACCATTACCTGACCTGAGGCTTGTGCAGAGGAGCTGCCCAAAGAGGCAGCTGGTATTGTTTGTCTCCATATGGGAGGGCTCCCTGGGCTGATCCTGGGTGTATGTGCAGCTTCCAGAAAATCTCTGTCTCTCCTCCCTTGGTGACCTGACCTTCCTTTGGAGTCTCCTGTGTCCCCAGAGCTGTCAGCTAATGACCGGGGACCTGTGATCTCCACACCAAGTCTCAGGCGAAGGACCAGGCTCTCCCCTGCACAGAGGGGGCTCTTGGGGCTGGGCTCTGGCTGCTGACCCACTTGGGAGCCTCAGGACTCAGGTTTACAGGAAATTGCTGCAGCTCCATCTACGAGGACAGATCCCACCCCTGACAGGGCCATCTTGGGGTCACTGGGGTTGGGAGCCCGGGACAGGGTCTGGTCAGGGGCTTCCTGGGATGGAGCTTCTCTGTGAGGATCCAGGCTGCCCAGGTCAGGCCCTGACCAGACTTTCAGGGTGTTTCCTGGGTCGTGCTTACAGGTAGGGTTCCAGGGGTCTGAGGATGACCCCCCATTCCCCATTGCTGCATTATTTGGCAACTGGTCTCTCTTCTGCAGGGAATGAGGCAGGACTGGATTCAGTAGGGACTTCAGTCTTATGCGCCTTTTCCACTCTGTTTCCTGCACTAAATGCTCAACCCCAACATGACACACAGTTGGGGGATGAGGCCGAGCCAGACCTCTGAGTCCCGTGTGTGTGAAGCAGATTTATCCCCCAAACGCAGACCCAGAGAAGAATTACTCACCAAGTACTTGGAAACTTCCTGTTCCTCCTCCATTGGAGAAGTCATCATATAAAACTAATACATTGTAGTCTCCTGTGTCTGCCTTGGTAACCTTCCAGATGAGCAGGGATCCACTGGGGTATATAGTCTCTCGACTGCTGTACATGGGCCCGGGGGTGGTATTTTGAGTGTCTACTCTGTAGGATATAATAAGTTGACTGCTGTCCACACCTCTTCCTTTATACCAGCTATATTTCAGAGGTTCCCTTGACAAATTGGAGACACGCAGAAGAACATCGTTCCCTTCAGCAACATTAGCAGGCTCTGGTTCAACAGTCAGCTGGGCAGTGGCTGGCAGGATCCAGAAGGTTGAGAGTGAAGCTAGGAGGGAAGTGAGAGAAACTGATCAACGTTTGGACCAAAGTATTGGCATGGGAAGGGGCGACCTGGAGCCTGAGCACTTTATCAATCCCTTTATGAATCATTTTTTGGGGTGTGTGTGTGTCCCACATGTTCACGGTCAGCAGCATGCCCTCCACCCTCCAGACCCTTTTCCTTTTTCTTCCCTCTCTTTGAACACACTCCCCAGAGTGTTCTCCTCATCCCCCAAGCCCCCTAAAGCCCCTGCTCACCCTGAGAGCATCCTTGGGAGATGCTTCCCTGACCCCCTGCTCTGAAGACCCGCTGTCCTCACTGTGCGACCTTTCCCTGCTCTGTGCCCTTCAGAACACTTGTCAGCACCTGACAGCACGTTCTAATGTTAGATCTTAGTTATCTCTCTCACCAGCCGAGGACCTGCGCTCCCTGAGGGCAGGGACTACTCCGGTCCCGCCGTGGCGGGATGGGCGCCATCCCTGTGGATGAGTGAGCGTCCCCAGGACCTCTATGTCCTGTGTGGATGATTTGCCCAGTTCTAAGGGCGGTGTCTAAGGGGGGGTTAATGTTCAGTTTGTACATTTTTTATGACACAAACTCTTGATATAAATTGTTATTATTCTCATCATTTCCCAAAAATTTTTTTTGGTGATAAATCACTCAGAAAACAGTTGAGGTCTCCTGGCCTCACACTTCAAATCATGACAACTTCATGCTGAGAAGCTGTCGCCATATCGCTGCTCTCCTGTCCCCTCGCCCCAGGTACACACAGAAGCCGTCCGCCTCCTCTAAGACCCTGTTCTCCCTGGAAACCTCAGAGTATCTGGTCTCCTCCTCCCACCCCCAGGAATGGCCCCTCTCACCTGCCAGCAGGAGCCCCTGCCAGGGGCCTCGGTCTCTGTGTCCATGGGCTGAGGGGGCCTCCATGGGGTCCCTGCCTGCTCTGTGCTCCCTCTGAGAGGAGCTTGGGCTCCAGAGAGGCTCCCAAGCAGGGCTGCCCCTGAGTGTCAGCGCTGAGTTCCTGTTTCTTCAGGGACACCCGGTCCTGAGAGCTGAGCCTCCTCCCCACTCAGGAGCACTTTGCTGGTCACGGGGCCTGTGGGTGGGTGTGTCTGCCCTAGGTGCTCCCTTTCCTCTCCTCTCATTCTCCTCCCTCTTCCCTTCTTCCTATTTCCAGTGTCTACATTTAGGGCTCCCTCCCCCCCACCAGACTACTGTAGCCTCCGCCCTTTTCTTTTACCTTTTCAAAAACAGGTTTATGAGGAGAGGAGAAGGGAATAGTCCCCACATGGTCAAGGCGGGCAGGAGACTGCTGCCTCTCCCTGTTTCAACTGTGACTGCTCAACTGACAAACATAGAAAGACACACACATTCACACACGCACACTCACACATACACACACACACACAGACATGCTATTGGACAAGCATGTGCAGGGCTCCCCCAAGCTCTGTGTCCAGGTCAGAGCAGCCCAAAGCCCTCTCTCCTCCCTTGGACTTTTCCTGTCAGAGCTGACCCTGGGGGCCTCCTCAGCAGCTCCTGTCACAGGCTGTCCCCTCTGTGTACAGAATCACCTGGGGAACTCCTAAAGATGGTGAATGCCCAGGTGACACCTTACACAGGCTGTTTCAGCAGCTGCTCAGGGAACGGGGTGCCCCACCAGGTGACCCCATGATTGGTTTGGGAGCCTGTGCCTGTCTGTGCACTGGGAGGGGCTGCAGGTCCTGGGAACATGCAGCTCCTGACCCAGCAGGTGAGGGGGGAAACCCAAGAGTCTGCATCTCCCCAGCTGTCAGGTGATGCTGTCATCCTGGCCTGTGGCGCCCACTTTCCAGAGCGAGACTGATGAGGACCCCGTGCCTGAGAGAGACTTCCTGCCCCATTGTAGGTCTGTGCTGTATCCTGTTTGGGGACACATAGAGACCTGGAATCCCGAAACCCAGGGGAGATTTCCCTTTGTGACACAAGAGCCTGCCTGGGCACAGGGTCTCCCCAGTTTCTCAGAGCTCTGGGAAGGCTGGATTCTCTCCAGGCAGGAGGGTGACAGAGAAGGCCCTGGGGTGAGAACCACGTGGCTGAGTGAGGCCTGGGGAGGGGCCCCTCTAGCTCCAGCGTCACCAGCCTGGTCTCCGCTCCCAGGCACGGAGACCCAGGACTGGGGGTCTCAGGAGCTGCAGCTCCTGGTGCGAAGGGGGAGGTTTCCTCATGTCCTGGGAAGAAAGGACAGAGAGGAGGAGAGGCCAGGGCCTGGCTCCCTGGTCCTGGGGAAGGTCTCAGGGAGACCCTCCCTCTCCGTGTCCAATGGCTGAGCTGTGACTTGGAGCCTGTCCATGTTCTCCCCGCTGTCCTGGGGGCCTCTGTGCTCTGCCTGTGGTCACCTGCATTCCCCATGGGTGGTGACTGACAGGGTGGGGACCCCTTATAGTTCACGGCGCTTCTCGTTCCCTAGGGGGATGGGAGTGGGAGCCAGAGTATGTACGTGGGAGATGGGGGTCCCTGAGGGTCTGGAAGAGCTGACAAGAAATCAGGCTTTTTCTCCACCTTCTCAGAGCCAGCTCCTGTGCTAACACTGCGAGTGTGTGTGTCTGTGAGTGTGTGTGTGTGGGGGGGGTGCACACAAGCGTGCGCGCATCTCCATGTCGCCCCCTGGAGGCCATGAGGAGACCTGCATGTTTGTCTCCATGTCGCCCCCTGGAGGGCACAAGACAAAATGTACCTAAGGTCAGGGCTAGCAGGGCTGCTGACCAGGCACCAAAGAGTGGAGTTGGCCCTGAATTCTGGGCAGAGATGGGTCTGACCTCTACCCTGAGGAAACATCAGGGCTCTGGTCACTGTAGCGCCCAGGCTTCCAACTGCATCCCATGCAGAGGGAGCCCCGGAAGGGGACAGGTGTCTTCTGGGGACTCCCAGCTGGGTGCTGATTGCCTGGGGACTTAGAAGACTCCAGAGGACGGGCAGGGTCCCAGGGAGGACAGGCTCACACTATACTCTTATAGTTCCCCATTCTAGCAGGGATCAGCTTGGGGAGTGTCCCCTGTGAGTGCAAATGACAACAGATGCCTTTTTGGGGCAGTTCCCCTGTCCACAGGGTAGATCTGCTACTTGAGGCTGTCTGGGTTAGTTCACAGACCGCACGGTGAGTCAGATGCCATTTCCACTTACCTGGTTGTGTTCAGGGAAACTGAGACACAGGGAGATACAGTCATTGAATCTGGATCACACAGACTGTGAGTGGCCAATCAGTACTGAGTTCTCTCTGCACTCACAGACATCCTCTCCTCCCCCAGGGCTTTCTTGGACCCTTGGGCCCCAATAGCAGCCATTGGTTCAGATCCTTTCCTCTCAGGATCCATGGCTCAGAGGGAGACTATCTGGTCTGGGGAGTGAAGGCAAACGGAGGATGAATCCCTGTTGACTCTAGAAGTAAATGACCTGCATGAACAGTCAGTGCTGGGGGCCCAGGCCGCCACCTCTGGGGCCCATCCACATGTCCCTGCACTGGATGGAAACCACTTATTAAAGTCGTGATGTGTGGGTGTCACTCCCACTGGAGAATAAAGGAGAGGACTTTGCCTTTTCATTCCCTGCTCTACACCTGCAGCAGCACCAAGAAGGGGAACCAGGAGGAAAGATGAGGGGAGGAGGATAGGGAGGAGCCTAAGGGATGCTTTGTGTCCCAAAGGTGGACGCGACCTTGTGCGGGAGCCCAGTGATGGAGTCAGCAGCAGAGGGACCAGAGCACCAGAAGCTGTCAGTATAAATCAGCGGCCCCAGGTCTAGGTGCCACAGTAGCAGCGTCCCCTGCAGAGTGTCTCTGATTCATAGTTGCCTGTTAATGTTTTTAATTTATTTATTTTATTTAGTTTTTTTCTTAAACTTTTTTTTTAAGATTTATTTATTTATGCATACAAGAGCTGGGGTATAGGCCAGAGATGCAGGCGGGGTGGGGGGGGGTGAGCAGATTCACCAGAGACAGAGTGGGGAACAGAACAGGCAGATCAACTGAAATACACTGCTTAGGGGAGGAGCGGGGAGACAGGAGAGGTCTGCTATGCCATGTGGGTTGCTCCCTGGCAGGCAAGGGATCGAACTTGTGCTGCAGAGGCTGCAGATTGCTTCATAATGCAGTGCTTAACCCCTTGCGCCACCAGGGAGGCCCTGATTTTATTATAATTATTTTAATTTCCTGATTGTCTTCTTATGGGAGTGAATTGCTGTCCTCTCCCAGTTGTCTCCGTATCTTTAACAAATATGCATTGGGGCAACCATCTATCTGGGGCAATCTACACCTCCTGTCACTAAGGCACCCACATTCGGGCACGGGTGACTTCAACAGGCTCACTGACCTTAAGAGGCTTACCTACCTGCCTTTGCTGGCAACCTTTTCATTGCTTAACAGCTGCCCAAATTCCCTTCTGAAAGCACAGGCTCTCAGCCTCCCCCAAGCTGGCTACCGTTCTGGTGACCTCATTATTTCCGGCGTCCCACACAGGGTGCCAGTATGGTCATGAGGGGCCAAATGAGGATGTAGGGGCATTCTGCAATACCAGCTCCTTCATCCCAGCAGTAAAACACTCATTATCAGGGCCATAAGTGTTTACATTAAATGTGGCATTTGCCTCCACAGTTGACAAAGTTCCTGCTCAAGCTCAGCACACGTTGCCATTTATTCACGTTTCTGGCACACCTTCTGTTTGGCCCATACTGTCTGTACGACAGCTATTAACCATGCCATAGGAGTGGGGTGACCCTGCCTCATGGACTCATTTTCTTTACAGTGTGTTAAGGGACTTCGGCTGAGGGACACACAGACATCAATCTCTAGGCCGCAGCAGTATCAGGGGTGCCTGGAACAAAGCACAATGAATATGGTGGAGATTAAAATCCCAATGGGGCTAGAAAAGCAGAGAGTAGAGGAGGTTGTCAGGACCCCATGGAGGCAGGTCACTTGACTGAGCATGTGACAAATTATAATGACGCACAGAAGATGTTGTAAGAGGGAACATAAGGAAAGGAAGTGACTAATGGGTGGTTATTGCACCCCAAATTGGGGGAGGGTGGCCATTGAGAGTAAGCTGGGCAAACTTTTCATTGCTTAACAGCTTTTGAAACTCAGAAGAGGCCAGGATTTCCAGTACATGCTTCAGATCAGGCTTTTTTTTTTTTTTTAAAGATTTATTTTTATTTATACAAGTACTGGGGTACAGTCAGAGGCATGGGAGGGTGAGAGAATTCACCAGAGAGAGAGAGCGGGGAGCAGAACAGTCAGACAGATGGAAGACACTGCTGAGGGGAGCAGCGGGTGAGGCAGGAGAGGGCTCCCATGCCGTGTGGGTTTCTCCCTGGCTGGTCAGGAATCAAACCCGTGCTGCAGAGGCTGAGGACTACTTCACAGAGCGGTGCTCAACCCGCTGCGCCACCGGGGAGGCCCAGATCAGACATTTTGTTAGCTCTCAGATGCACATAGGTGTGCCGGGTCTGGCACTGAGCATTTCACTTTGTGCTGTAGGGGTTTTGATCTCTGAGATCTAAGGCCTCCTTCAGCTGTGCTGCAAATCAGCAAGATGCTGGGGTTTGAGGACAGGTGAAACAATAAATGGGGGCCAGAGAAGGCTGAAAAAGAGCCAGGTCTGGAGGGATGAAGAGCAATTGGGGAAATTAAGGGCCAGGAAGCCATTGGAGCGTGTGACGCCCAGAACAATCTGGAACACAACTAGTGGCCAGGAAAGGAGATGGGCTGCCAGGAAGAATGCTGACTGTGGGGAAGTGGGAAGAATCTAGACACGGGTGGGGGTTGCTTGCAAGGTGGTGAAAGCTGTCCTAGGGTGGGAGGTGGGAAGTTAATGGCAGTCTGGAGTTAGCAAGGCCCTGCCCTGGAGGAGTGGAGGCTCATGGGGAGGCTAGGTGAGGGATCTCCCTGCAGGGGC